ACAGTATATATATATATATATAGAGAGAGAGAGAGAGAGAGAGAGGAGAAATATACCCTACCCAGTTATCAGGGAACATTCCCATAACTTTCATCAATGTTTTTTAAAGGTAATGTAAATGTTGAGACAAAACATTAAATTAATAACACTATTAATATTTAATATACATTCCTGTAATGTTGAGGAAGGAAACATTCTTTCAATGTTCTTGAAACATTCTTATGATGTTATTAATATTGGCTAAATGGTTTTTGTAATATTAGCAGAAAACATTTTGGCAATAATATTCATAGAACATCCATATGATGTTTTTATAATATTTCTAGAAAATGTCCTTAGAACAAAATTCTTGGAATATTATACATAACTGATGAACCAAATCTAAGGAGAAAACATTTTTGTTCATTATTCTCAGAAAGTACTTTAATTATTAGAAGGATCAACTAACAGCTAACATTTCAAAATGATAGAATGGAATGTTCATCTAACGTTCACATAACCAAGAAGAAACGTTCTCAATACAGAGATAACGTTACTTAATGGGAATTTTAGCAAATTGTTCTTAGAACATATTTTTGTTACATGAGTAGACATTTCTTTATTCACCCACTCTAGTTGAGAGTTATACTGTTATGCTACTGTAACCTCTGACCTCTGTGTTTTTCATTGCTACCATAGGAATTTGAGAATGCAGAGGGAGAGGAATATCCAGCGGATATGTCCATGCCGGCATCGCCTGCATCGCACACCGGTCCTGAAGTCTACATTCTGCCTCTCACCGAGGTCTCTCTGCCTGTCGCCAAGCAACCTGGCCAATCAGGTGGGTCATCGTCACACTGCATCTGTGGAAATTGCTATATGAGCTGGACCAGATGTGATAGCACTTAAGAAAGCGCAAGACTATTGAGGATTTCCTCCCAGTCCTGAATCCACTCTGACCCCGCTTATGCAACTCCCAGTTCTACTCCATGCCTATGGTATCAGTGTTGTGCAAAATTCACAATTAAACAATTTATTCACAAATAAAACTTCAATTTATGAGTGTGAATTTTAATTGAATTGGCCAGGGCTGCTGGAAGCTGAATTGGAATTTGAATGGAAATGAAGGGATGAGGAATTTGCCAATTTAAGTTCATGTAATAGATTTTAAAATTTAATTGAATAAATATGATGAAATAAACAAACTAAACACAAATGTCTATAGATTACATTTCAAACATATCTACACTACCACTAAGTTTGGGGTTTTAAAAGGGGGTTTTAAAAAGAAGTCTCACTTTGACCAAGGCTGCATGAATGTTATCAAAAATACAGTAAAACAGCAATACTGTGAAATATTGTTACAACAATATATTTTAAAATGAAATTTATTTCAGTCAGTTAAGTCAGTCAGCCAGTCTCTTTGTAAAACAAACCTTCAAACTAAAAGGCTTTTTAAACTGACTTCTCTATTTAAAAATTACATTTATAAGAATCTTGAATCTTTAAATTTCAGTTCATTCGAATTTTTCTTACATTAAAATTCATATTGAAATTCTGCTTCCTTTTTTCTACATAAATTCAAATTCAGTAACTAAATTAGGATTTAAAAAGCATTCTCAATTCAAATAGTGCACAACTCTAAAAGCCATGGAGAATAGTGGCTTTCGTCTCTCTGAACTTTAATCTACATGGGTTGCCCTGAGACCACAAGGCTGGCGGGAGCAAATACTTTGAAGAGAAACAGACTTTTCTTTTCTCTCTCTCTTTTTTTTTTTTCAAATTTCTGTGATTTGCGTGCACTTCACTGGTGCAAATTCTCTTGTTTTTCAGTACAAACGTCCTTAAAGATTAAGACTTGTTTACATTAGAATATTTCACTAATTAAGTGTATTTTTCTTACTCCACAAGCAAATTTTCTTGAAATCCAAACAATTTTTCACTCCAACATTTTTTTGTCTTTGTTTTCCGGCTTGTGAGAATTTCACATTCTCATTCCATCTCGATCCGCACAACATCTGCCTGTTGCATAATGCCGCCTCAGCCAGCCTACATAAATGTGCCTTGGAATCTGAGGAATCTGGGAGACGATGTGTACAGTCCGATCCATGGATACCCTGTCTCCCTCTTCCCCACAACAGCTCACTTTATTATAGCCTGGCGGGCCTTAATGTGGTGCGATTAGTAAAGGGTCAGAGGTTAAGAGGTTGTGGTTTTCTAGATTCAGCTCACAGAACTCTCACGCTCTGGCATTTCATTAACGCGATAAGTGAATAATAGATGCAGTATTTTGCCACCGGACAGATAATAATGCCAATTCTTCAAAGTAAAAATGGTGTCGTCTATAATAAGACTTTCATAAACGACCCTGGTTTTAGGAGTGGCTGGAATGATGTCACTCCTTAAGGATGAGGTTGAGGTAAGATATACAAACCTCCTGCCAGGAAGTGCAGGTCTCAGTCACTGTGACACAGATAGCATCTGTCTGTAATCAGACGTGTCTTTCTTCTCCTGGGATGTCAGTTAGACAAATGAAGAAGCTAATTGGAATGTTTATCATTTGATTTGAGATGTTTCAGCCAAAGAGTTTATGTATTGCACTCTGGTGTGCAGTATCCACCCCAACGCAGCTGTGCTCGTAAACACACCCTCACACACACACACACAAATCTATATCTGAGCAAGTGAATTCTCTGAAGATCACATCATTTCATATGCAACATGCACACACCCTCTTTATCACACTCACTTCATTAAACTACATCACTGAAATATTATTCAAACTCATTTGCATTGCTGGGAAAAACAGACTAGAGGGACAAATAAAGCAAGACGTGCACAGCAGCAGTAAACACATTTCACCGTGTTTGATAATGTATGATAATTCTGTTTGGTTAAAGTGGAACGATTTCTCTCCATTATTTTCCTAACGACTGCATTCCCAGCAGCCATCTGGCCAGCGTGTCACTGCAAGTGACCAACACCACAGTAATGAGCAAGCCAAGCAGTCAATCATGTATTCAAATAAACACTGAGCAAATTTTGACATGTGATGGGATTTTTGTTAGCACGTTTTTGTCATACTGTTGGCAGACCTCAATGTTTTTCTATTTAGCGCTGTTTTGTTCATATTTGGCTAAGTACACACTGACGTTTTAGTGACAGGTGCATTTAATGTGGGATTTAATCTCCTAAATTATTGTTTTATGTGTGTGGTGTACAGAACAATATATATATTAATATATAAATCTTGAACTTGGTTGACGTAACAGCAATGCTTTGGTGTGTCATGGCTGTATAAGAAAAATAAATGCTTACAGTTCGCTTTTTTTTTTTGGCTAAACTAACACTAACCTGCTGGAAAATCCAGTTAACTGTGTTTTGGGAATGTGATAGCTGGCATGGATTTTCCAGCAGAATAGAAATTGGAAGATGGATTATCATCTGGAAATTATTATTCAGTTTGGATTTGTGATGAAATGTTGTTGTAAGCAATGAATGTCGCTATATTTTTTGAAAGTGAATTTATAAAGAACTGGACTGACATAAGAATAGCAACATTTTAGTGTCTTTCAGCTGTAAACAAGAAACATATGCCAGCAGTTTGTGTTTTTACCAAGCTGACCTGCTGGAACATCCAGGTTGAACTGTTAGCTGTGTTTTGGAACATCTTAGCAGGTTTCTGGCTGACCTAATTTGATAATTAGCTGGTTTAACTGGTTTAAGTTGGTCAGACCATGTTCAAAAACCAGCCTGACTACCATAAGCTAGTAGGACAAGCTAACAGCTGGTTTGTTGCTAATCCAAGGTGGTCTAGCAGCTTGGACCAGCTAATGGCCAGCTTAGACCATCTAGAAACCATCTGTCATGTTCGAAAACACAACTCAAACTGGATCTTCTAGCGGGATACTAGAGATTTGTCGAGCATTATTTTAAAACTGTGATATTTTACAGTCCTATTTATACTATTATACAATTTATTAAATATTTTCAATTAGCTTTAATTTTCACATTTTCAATTTTAATTTTTGTTTAAATTTTAGTCATTTCAAAACTAAGTCATATTTTTAAGTCATTTAAAAAAAAAATTTGATTTTTTTATTGCTAGATTTAATTTATTTCTCAGCTTTAGTTTTAGTAATTTTAGCACTTACTTTATTTTTTTATTCTTTATTCTTTATTAACTTTTTTCAGTTATTTTCCAGGGCAACATTTCTATATTTTACAGTCCTATTTATACTATTATACAATTTATTAAATATTTTCAATTAGCTTTAATTTTCACATTTTCGATTTTACTTTTTGTTTAAATTTTAGTCATTTCAAAACTAAGTCATATTTTTAAGTCATTTAAAAAAAAATTTGATTTTTTTATTGCTAGATTTAATTTATTTCTCAGCTTTAGTTTTAGTAATTTTAGCACTTACTTTATTTTTTTATTCTTTATTCTTTATTAACTTTTTTCAGTTATTTTCCAGGGCAACATTTCTATTTTTTATTTTATTATTATTCTTTTTTTTATTATTAATATTTATATTTGTTTTATTTCAGCTTTATTTTTTTTTTATAGTTTTAGTTAACAATAACAACGCTGGTAGAATATTTGAAAGTGTTCTTTGTGTTTGGCTTTGTACTGCTAATGTTTGATATACACATTGATTTAATTCATAATTGAATTTCACACAGTTGAAATCCAGGCAGTTTGTAACTATATCTTCAATCTCTTCATATATTCTGTACTGTTGTTTGCTTTATATTATATTATAATATTTATTCTGATTTGTTCTTTCCTATCCTGCACCCACATCAAACATTTCTGATTTTCTTACCGGCCATTTGCTTTCCCAGTGCTGAGCTAGAAACCTCAGGAATAATAGCATTAGTGTTTCCGTCCTCTCAGTGGTACCAAGCAGCACCGCCAGCATGACAAAGAGCCCGATTTTCCCCAGCGAGGGCTCTCTGAGAGGGGGCAGGCAGAATGAGAAGCCTCTGCAACATCACATGGGTGTAAAATATGGCTGCTGCATAAAAAGGGGACAGAGAGTGAGACAGTATGTCATAGACTTTTACAATAAACTGTTTGTGGGCACGATGAGATGAGTGAAAGAGAGAAAGGGACTGTTATGGCTTTTTGAGCTGATAGAGATATGCAAGGATCTGTCAGAGGGTACAGAAAATCACTAGTCAAATTCGTCCCTTCTGCGGCAGCTTTCTCTGACTTCTGCTTTTCAGAAAAATGCCTTTCAAGCAGTCTGATAGATCACAGGGAGATTTTGAACTCTTCAGACGATCTTTTGAATTTGATTGTGTGCCTTTCAACATCACTTTTGCACAGAAGATTGCTCACTGCTTTTTGGAGAGGATATTTGGTGGATGATTTTCTTGTTGGAGGAAAGGAAAATCTTGACGAGATTTGTTTTATGCACTTGCAATGCTTTATTGTGCACTAAGGGTGTGTTGGAATAGTTCTTAATGTTGTTTAAATTCTGTTTTTTTTTGTTTTGTTTTTTTTATTGTGTATTTTAATTTAATTTTTTTATTAGTATTTTTCATCCGTTTTGTTTTTATACATTTGCTTATTTGACAGTGCAATGGCTCTAACATATATTAGATGCAATAGGGGTCCAAATGTGAAAATGCTGCTGTTCTGCATTTTTCTAATTTAATACAATTTTTAATTCCAAATTATATTGTCAGCGTAACAAATTAATTGAAATCTTGATGAAGCAGCACTTTGAGAATGATCTGAAAAGCATCTTGTGCTGCATTAGAAGCAAGAACATCTGATTGTCTGTAAAACAGAAATATTTCTTATTCATGGCATGTCATTTATTCCATCCTAAACCTTGCTACTTAATATCTTGTTCTGTCTGTGTCTTTTATACCCCCTTATAGTCCAGCTCCTGAGATCCACGGATCTTGGCCGTCACAGTTTGCTTTATATAAAGGAGATTGGGCATGGCTGGTTTGGCAAGGTAAGTGTAGTTGGTTTATTGTTTATTTGCTTTGTATGTTTGTGCACCTCACAGATATGAATGCCTTAGGCATGTTCTGCTACGGATCAAAGATTTCGTTCTGTAGTTTAGACCCAAGGATGTGAAAATGTTTTACACGCCGTTTTACCTTTGCCACGCCTCAGTAATACTCAAGCTTTGATGTTGGACTTGTGTCGAGAATTTGATGATATTTCTGTGTAGAAGTGAATTACAGAAGCACTTTAGTGTTAGGAATAATTGTGCCTCATTCACTCTCATTCTTTCTCTCTTTCTCTCTGCTTCTTTGTCTTTTTGTAACACACATACGTAAACACACACTACCCCAATTACCCCAACTTTCCATTGAATGGGTATGTCCATCTGTATGTCTGTGTCTCTGTGGCTGTATGTTTAACAATGTCTCATCTGGTTTTGTGTTGTTTCGTCTTTCTGCATTTCCTTTTGAGCATCTTTTCGCATGATCCCTGGACTTGATTTAAACCTTTTTTGGGTTTGTTTGTGTGGAATATCTGTCTTCCATTTCCTTCCTTCCTTCCTTCCTTCCTGTGTACCCATTTCCTTTATGTGAACATCTGTTTGTGTCTATCTGTGTCACCCTGTCCATAATTGTGTGTGTTGTCCATTTTCCCTCTGTTCATACCTGTATGTGTGTTTCTGTTGTCTTTTTCTTGTGTGTTTGTGTGTTGGTGGGATGTCGTTCGCAGGTATTGTTGGGGGAGGTTCACTCTGATCTCAGCAATACCCAGGTGGTGGTGAAGGAACTAAAGGCCAGTGCCAGCGTGCAGGACCAGATGCATTTTCTGGAAGAGGCTCGGCCATACCGGTAAACAAATCATTGCATTGTATATTTCATTTATACATTTTATTTAATCTCTTTTGCAAGAATAAATAAAAAGATTTGAACATTTTTAGGCTCAAACTCCTCCAAGGGTGACGGACCCTATGAAAAATATACTGTTGCTTAGGCTAGTATGTCTGCTAAAAATAGTAATTTGTAATAAACACATTAAAATGTAAGACATTAAATGGATAGTTCACTCAAAAATAAATGTTCTCTCATCATGTACTCACCCTCATGTTGTTGCAAAACTGCAGGATTTTCTGTGGAACACAAAAGAAGATATTTTGAAGAAGGTTGAAGAACTGTTCCATAAAATGAACGTCAAAGGGGTCCAACGCAACACTGACCCCATTGACTTTCATTGTATGTGCAAAAAAAAAAAAAAAAAGTATGTTCTTTTGGGTTCTACAACAGAAAGAAATTCATACAGGTTTGGAACAACATGAGGGTGAGTAAATGATGACAGAATATTCATCTCTGAGTGTATAGTATGATTGTGGTGTATTGTAATGATGACTGGGCTGAAACTCTTTCTGCAGGTCTCTCCAGCATCCGGCTCTAGTGCAATGCCTCGCTCAGTGCACAGAGGTCACACCCTACTTAGTGGTCATGGAGTTCTGGCCCCTGGTTAGTCTTTTTTTTTTTCTTAAGGGTGACTTTTTGGGACTTTTGCCATGTGGACAATAAAACTTCTCATAAACTTTCATTGAAGGGGGCCATGTCTAGATACCAGAATATGATGGAGACTTTAGAGAGTTTGGCCAGTAGGCCGATTTTTAGCCAAATCAAAACAGTACATTTTGCTGCTTGATTTTGCAAACTGGTATTTATCATCATATTATTTTAATTAATTTTATTAATCAAAAGCACTGGTTTGTAGCGCAAATATTTTTACCGTTTACTGCACTTTGTTATTCACCGATAGCAGCTCATGAATCAGAAGCACATTCAGAGGCAACAGCTTCAGCTTTAAAAAATAAGGTGGAAATGCAAGGGTCACAACATGATAGTGTGCTTCTTTATTTCATGTCATTCTTCTCCTGTTATTGCCTACCTAGGTCACATGTGCAACAGCATATTTTTGAAACAGAACTGCGCTTAGCAACAACATCAAATAGCTGCTCTCATGATGTCTTGCTATATATCGCCCCCCAGTGGTTAGCTGAAAATAATCAGGCTCACAGCACAATCTTTTGATGTTTATACATACTGATTTGCATTTTGTGTTTTAGCATGTGTTTTATGTGTTGAATGTCAACAGGGTGATGTTAAAGGTTACCTGCGCAGCTGCTGGGCAACAGATTCCATGACCCCTGACCCCTTACTACTTCAGAGGATGGCGTGTGAGATCACTTCAGGCCTGCTTCACCTTCACAAAAACAACTTCACCCATAGGTCAGCCAACACTTTTATATTTACTTCAACTTTTTGGAGAACCTTTGAATCCTTTAGAACCGAAATATAATAGTTATCATCACAATCTTCTTTATCATTCTCAATTCGAGTACTGGAAAACTGTCATCAGATTTAACAGTATGAGCATGAAGCTAATGAGTGTGAATATCTGCATTGCCTGCTTCCTGTCTCATGGTTTCTTCCTGCAACAATCTCCTGATGCTGCCTGAGTGTTTTTACTCCACTCCAGCATCAGTGATTTTGTTGCCGGGGGTCACCACACATCTACAAGCAAATTCAACATGTCCTTGCCAAGATACTTTGAACAGGTTCTTGAAGAATTATTTTTGGAAAGTAACATCACAGTGCAGTAAAATGACGGCTATTTCTGGCATTGCATCTGTCATACTTTGTAACTGTATGTTAATTTTGTGCAGGCTTGCAGTTTTGTAAATGACATCGAGTTATGTTTGAGCTAGCGATACGAAATCATGTAGGCCATGTCCTATTTTCAGAAGGTGCTTATCATTTATTTATTTATTTATTTTTGGTGCTCTGATTTTCTGCAGTGATCTGGCTTTAAGAAACTGCCTGCTAACATCAGACATAAAAGTTAAGATTGGAGACTATGGACTATCGCATAACAAGTACAAGGTGTGTACACTTAAATCTATACATTTTTATCTACTAATTTTTATCTATAAAATGTCTAATTATTAATAGTAATATAAACCTGAATATTTTAGATTATATTTAGATTGCATTCATTTACTAGTTGATTTTGTGCTTTTTTACTCAAAATGTGGTAAGTGAATTTCATTAACTCAAGCTCTTTCTCTTCATGTCTGTTTATCCCCAGGATGACTACTTTGTGACATCAGACCAGACCTGGATTCCCTTACGCTGGATTGCCCCTGAGCTGGTTGATGAGGTTCATGGTAACTTACTGGTGGTGGACCAAACCAAGGAAAGCAACATCTGGTCAGTACCTTCACATGAAATTCTTGCATCTGTGTAACATAAATTTAGTGTTGAATTTAGGCCTTTATTTTGCAGTTTTATGAAGAACAAACAGCCTCCTGAACAGTGTTGGGCAGTAACGCATTACTTAGTAACGCGGTACTGTAATTTGATTACTCTTTTAGTAACGGAGTAATTTAACACGTTATAATTTTCAAAATAGTAATTAGAGTATAGTTACAAGCCGAGGTCTCTACACGTTACTGCCACGTTACATTGCTGACAGAATAATCTAGAGATTGTAAAAAGGATGTAGCACACGCATTGTCGAGTCAAGTGCCAGTGGATTAGAGACCTGCTCCCACGAGACCCGACGCAACAGCAGCGCGGGAGATGATGGGCGGGTTTCGTGTGTGTGCGGTTTGCGGGAGAATAAAATGATTCACGGGACTCCCGCAAAATAGAAATATCTAAACATAAAATATCTAAAACAAATAAATTGTTATTCATCTATTGCACAAAAGCAACATGAACTAATATAAAGGATTTCATAACTTTCATGGAGAAAAAAGTAGCGTAACTAGTAATGTAACTAATTACTAATTACTTTTGAAATAAAGTAATCAGAACAGTAACGTGATTACTTTTAAAAGGAGTAATCAGTAATCAGTCATTTGATTACATTTTCAGAGTAACTTGCCCAACACTGCTCCTGGATAACCTTTATTATCGATTATAGATATCAAGTCATTATTGATTGATGCATTAATTGCTGTTATTTACCAGAATACTCTGTTTCTCTCTGTACATAAGGTCACTCGGTGTAACAATCTGGGAGCTGTTTGAGTTGGGGAATCAGCCGTACCGCCATTATTCAGACCGACAGGTTCTCAGCTATGCTGTAAAGGACCAGCAATTGAAGCTGCCCAAGCCACTTCTTAAGTACCCTCTTTCTGACCGCTGGTGGGTGTCTAATAAACTTTAAATTGCACTTCTTACTCTTTTTATTAACCATTACCTAGAGTTAGAGCCCTGAATTGTCAATTTGCTAGAGCCTTTCAGTTTCACCCTTCTCTTTTTGAGTCTTTGCTCTTAAAACTATTTAAATTTTGTTGTTTCAGATATTCAGATAGTTTGGTTTTAACACAATTTAACTGTATTTTTGTGTAATGTTCCTGTTGAAAAAAACAGCATGCATATGGTGGTTAGGTATGTTTTGAAGCATGGCAGCTGGTTTGAGCCGGTTTAAGCTGGTCCTTAGCTGGTCTTGAGCTGGTTTAAGCTGGTCATGCGCTGGTTCTAAGCAACTAGCTCCTGCTCAGGGCAAGCTCATAACCAGCTCAGGACCAGCTTAAACCAGCTCAAACCATGCTTCAAAACATACCTAACCAGCATATGCTGTTTTTTTCAACAGGGTTTGCAGTTAAAATTTCTAACAATTCTTTAAACAAAATAAATTTGCTTGAGGTCCAACACTGCATTGGATTTTAAGATATTATATTGTTAATAGATTGATCTCAAGCTATAAAATGCAATCTAAAAAAACATTTTATGCAGTTACTTCTCAAGTAAATGTATCTTGTTTTAAGGATTTTTAGATTTATTCCTACTGAAAAATAGATTAAAAAAACTCATTAAGAAGTCAATTTTGAAGTGAAACTTTTAGTAACATTTTCTCTAAAACGGTATGATGTTTGTGTTTCTGTATCACCAGGTATGAAGTCATGCAGTTCTGTTGGCTTCAGCCTGATCAGAGGCCCAATGCAGAAGAAGTTCATCTGCTGCTAAGTTACCTATGTGCCAAAGGAGCCAGTGAGGCAGAGGAAGACTTTGAGAGACGCTGGAACTCCATGAGACCAAACACAAGCCATGCTACTGTCCATGGAGCCGGTGCACTAGCAATCGACATGCCCATGTCATCCACCACTTCCTCATTCCCCCTACTGGAGCAGTTCCCCACTGGAGACGGCTACCATTCAGAATCTGGAGATGACATCTTAACGGTTACTGAAACCAGCCATGGCCTCAACTTTGAGTACAAGTGGGAGCAGGCACGGGCTGAACAGCACTACCAATCCTCATCCACCACGGGCACTTTGGGTCAAGGCAATCCCCATTGTCAGGAGGTGTACTACCCTCCGGGCGGAATAGTGGGGGGCTGTGCTGTTGAAGGACTTGACCTAGGGGTTTCTCCTTCATATTATGAGCCCAAACAACTACACACCCCTGGTGTGGTACCAGTCCTGAGTGCTCACAGTCCATCAGTGAGTAATGAGTACTACATTCGCATTGAGGAGCCAGTACAAAGCAATATTGATATGAACTTCACCATGTGTGCTTACAGCCCAGAGTTTGGGGGGAGCAATGCAAGTTTTCTAACAGGTAGTGGAGACTCTCGGGAGTGTATGAACTGTCCCCCTGAAGCTAAACCAGACATTTATTGGTCAACAGATATCCACAAAAGCAGTGCCTATGATTCAGACACCAGTCCTGCTATGTCTCTAACTATGGAGCCTCTTTTGGGCCATGGTAGCCCTCTTAGAGCATGGGAGTCTGGTCACTATGTCTCATACAAAGACAGGGATGGAGGTTACTACTATGAACCATCACCTCCTAGGATCATAGACCGCTACCTGATACGAGACCCAACAGAGCCTCCAGAAGAGAGCTGGGGGTCTCGAAGCTTAAGACAGGCACTTGGGGAACTGGAGGAGCCTTTAGGCATCTCACCATCACTTGGAAGTCCTCCACAAGGCTATGCTGATCCTTACTTGGAGAACATTCAAGGCTCCATTATAAGAAAGAACGTTACGGGAGGATATTATGATATGATGGGCTCTTTGAGGAAGACTATGCCAGGTAGCCACTCAGTTTGTATTGACATGGCATCAGGTGGTGCTATATTCGTAGGACGAGATGACAGCGACTCTGATGAAGAGGAAGACATCTTTGTGGAAAGGCGAGGAAGAAGCTGGTCCACCAGCAATCCAGCAAATACAAACACAAGGATCTTGAGTCAAAGACAGGGGTCTTGTATCCAAGATTCGTATGCAGATTTCCACTACACTATGCCGATGACTGATGTTGAGGATACATGGCCAGAAGAGCAGACCCTGTCGTACCATATGGCCAAACCTGTTGACTACTTAGAGGCAACAGTCAAAAGCAACACTTGCCTGGTGCATGGAAGACATGTACCTTCAAACCCTTCACCCGAGTGCAGCTCGTATATCCATATGTGCCATGAACCCAGAGAGGCTGAAGTATATCCCGTGCCATGTTGTCAAGCTTTGAGCAGTTCACATTTTGTAGATCCTCTAACAGGAACATTTGTGAGGAACTGCTTCATGATTGACTGTATTCCAGGGAAACCCATGACATTGCCCAAAAAAGACCAACACCTAGGCCAAGCACCTTTATCTGCTGGATATATAGTCTCCAAAATAGAGTCATCAAGGGAAGGTGCCAAACAGTTTGACGTCTCCCAGCAGTATGTGGATATTGCGGTAGGGGAAGCAAACTTGAAGCAAGAAAAAGCATTGCATGAAGTTGCATCTCCAACAGATCCCAAAACTGAAATTATTGCCATCACTCCACAATTGGAGAAATCCCAAGCTGAGTTACCCAAATCAGAGCCAGAGTCAGACTTAAGCAAGACAGCAGAAAGTGGTGTGGACCATGGACGCTCTAGTATCAGTCTGGTGGAGATTGATGACTGCAGCGATGATGACATCACTGACGTAACCTCTGGGATTTTTGGTGACTTCACCATTGAAGTGGAAACTGTTGACTACACCAGTCCAACATTCAAGTCATTACAAAAGCAGGTTGGTACGCCAGACTCCATGGACTCCATTGACATTCCATCTACAGCATGTTCCAGCGAGACACTCAGTCCTGCCTCTATTCATCCGTCAAGCTCTCCCAAGACAGTGGACAGTGGATATGACACTGAAAACAATGAATCTCCAGAGTTTGTCCTAAAGGAACCCCATGAGCTACAAGATTCTAAGGTTTTTATCCAACCCTTGGGAAAAGTGACCTCTGGGTCTAACTTTGTCAGTGAAGAACAAGAGATTAAAAGGGCAGAAGATGAGAAACTAGAGGACAATGTTGATATTGTAATGGCACTGACAACATTTGAGAGCAATGATGGAGAGTTGAAAGCGCTGAGTGATAAAACTCCATACAGAGATTCAGCCTACTTCTCTGACTATGATGCTGGGAAAGATAAAGAAAGCGAAGAGGACATCAATGAACTTGAAGATCAGAAAGATGGACCAGAGGAAATTATAGATAAAGAGGAGCAACTTCCTCCAAAAAAGGAGGCAGATGGAGATGAATATAATTTGCCATCTTCAAAGGAAACTGAAAAGGCTCCTGAACAGTCTGACGATGCAACCTCAAACGCTCCATCAAAGGTTGAAGAAGGTATGTCTGGTTGCAACAGAATCAGTAGTGTGTCTCTTTCATCTCCTGATAATGAAGTGTCTACCATAAAAGATCATTTTGATGAGGATGAAAACTTTGGTGTAGATTCAGATCTTTCTGCAGAACTCGTACCATCTGAAGTATCTGATTCAGATACTTTGCTTGGTCCCGATGTAAAGCAAGATGAATCTTTCAAACAAGTAGGTAGTGAAGATAGTGTGTCTCTCGACCAAATAACTTCTGAGGGTGAAGGTGCAAACATCAATATTCCAAAGGTCCTTACTGATGAGAATGTAGAGGGCATTGTCAAAGATGTCATTTTGTTCGAAGAGGAACTAGCATCTCAGAAGGAAAGGAACAGTTCCCTTACACATGAGAGACTGGAATCCTTGATTAAGGACTGTGAAGGAGGACGTAAAAGAAACGCCACACGTTCTGGCTCTCCTCCCCCTCCACTAGAAGGACGGGTGTCTCCCACAGATGGAGAGGAGGCTGATGAGGAAGACGGCGACTCTGAGGATAGCGATGAGTCCGATGAGGAGCTGCGGACTTACAGTATCCAGGAACAGAGCGAAGAAAGCGAGGATGAGCTCTTGACCGTACCTATCATTGTGAGTGACTGCAGCGATGCACACAAACTCAGAAGTCTACTTAAGATGCCAACACTGCTCAGCGACTCACTGTCTGACGAAACTGAGAACAAAAAGAAGGTGGTGTCTTTCTTTGATGATGTCACCATCTTTCTGTTTGACCAGGTATTTTTTTTGTCCAGTTATTCTAAGATGTTTTCGATGGTATATTAATTCACATTTGAGTACTTTTGAAGTTTAATAATAAAATTTTGTCAACCCCTCCAGGAAAGCCCAACCAAAGAGCTGGCAGATCAAAGTTTTCCCTTGGGTGGAGAGTCAAGCAAACCAAGTGCAAAGGGTAAAGCACAAAACCAGCAGGAAAAGGTCAATGCCTCCGATGACTCTTCTGACGGAAACATCTCAGAAGAGAGTAAAACACGCTTTCCTTGTTTTTGTTTTTTTGCCCAAGCAAAGTTTGTATCTTTTCTCGAGTATTTTTAACACTAATTATTTTCCATCCTGCTTTGTCTTCGATCTAAGGTGCAGGTTTTGAATGGGAAGATGACTTCCCATTGTTGCCCCTTCCCACATCTCCTAAGGGGTCTCCTCCGGACATCACTGCAAAGCCGAGCCTACCGAGTGGCAGTACTAAACCTGTGGCACAGGTCTCCCGTTTTACTGTTTCTCCATCCAGTGTGTCACGTTTCTCCATCACACATGTCTCGGATTCAGATATGGATTCTGCAGGAGGTGAGACAGCACATATTTGAAGCAGTGTTCTTATCATTAACTCTTTACCAGTGTTGGGCAAGTTACTCTGAAAATGTAATCAAATTACTGATTACTGATTACTCCTTTTAAAAGTAATCACGTTACTGTTCTGATTACTTTATTTCAAAAGTAATTAGTAATTAGTTACATTACTAGTTACGTTACTTTTTTCTCCATGAAATTTATGAAATCTCAACATACATGCTCCCGATAAATATTTGCTATTAAAGCATCAACATTCACAGAACACTGTTATTTTTAACTAAAGCAAGCGGCTGCGCGTGCATGGTTTGGATGGCAGAATGCCAGCAAAGAGCGCTGCATTTATAATCTCTAAAAGACATCTCAGTTCATTGCAATCTCACAAATCTCTGTTATAACACAATAAATATATGCATAATGAATCTTTCATAATGTCTACAATTCGTGTGTTATAATGAGAGGATTCGTGAACACGCAAATTTCAGCACTGCATTGCTCAACGCTGCAAACACGTGTTATAGCCTAAATAGAAACTGCATACGCTTGCACCTGTTAATCGTATAAGTATAAAATCGTATATTTTATATTAGTTCATGTTGCTTTTGTGCAATAGATGAATAACAATTTATTTGTTTTAGATATTTTATGTTTAGATATTTCTATTTTGCGGGAGTCCCGTGAATAATTTTATTCTCCCGCATCCCGCACACACACGAGTGTCTATCCGCCCGCAACAGCACTCGCCCATCTTGTCCCGCGCTCTAATCCACTGGCACTTGACTCGACAGTGCGTGTGCTACATCCTTTTTACAATCTCTAGATTATAAAACACTGCATTCTGTCAGCAATGTAACGCGGCAGTAACGTATAGAGATCTCGGCTTGTAACTATACTCTAATTATTATTTTGAAAATTATAACGCGTTAAATTACTCCGTTACTAAAAAAGTAATCAAATTACAGTAACGCGTTACTAAGTAATGCGTTACTGCCCAACGCTGCTCTTTACCCACCAGCATTTTTTTTTTAATGTTTGCAAGACAACGCCACCATTTTTTATCATTTTCACAAAATTTTCATGGCCCCCCCAGAATATTTTGTTGTATGATTATCTGAGCATACAATGTATAAAAAAAAACAGAGCCTCTGCTTTTAAACTAAATAAACCAATTTGTGGATTTGGGATTTGTGCTTTTGTCAAAGACTACACATGTTAGCTTACATGTACATTAGCAGTGCTTCTTTCTGCTTCTTCTTCACTTGCTTTTTGATCTGGAGATTCTGTACTAGTACAGAAGATGCATAATAGCGCCCCCTAATATATAACAGTAAAAATATGGATTGCCAGAAAATTCTGTCAATGGTGGGGAAGTGTTAACAGAAGCTAAATGAAAACATTTTTACTTTAAAAATTAAAAGGTTAATAATATAATTGTGAAACTAATAAAAAGCATTTTCATTACTCTAAAATAACAGCTAAAATAAAAATGTCCACAATTTACTGTTAGTTTTGAAGTTAATGTTATTTCAAATTATTTTGTCTTTTAACAGATTTATTCTACAGAAAAATCTGTTTTTATTTTCCAAATACTTTAGACATTCCTGGGATAATTTGCATGTTAATGAAATATAAAGCTAATGTAAATTTAATGTGTTTTTTCCCCTCTGTTTTAAAGGGAGCAGTGAAGATGGGGAAAGAGAGTGAATAACCGTACTACTGCCAGCAGTGAGTGGCACTGACAGACTCTTATTTATTTTTGTTTATTTTATTTTTTGATTGAGGAGATCACAATAAGAAGGAGGTTTTGATCTCTTTGGAAACCGCTTTTGGATCCCCTCAAAGACAGTGCCTCTTAATTTCAGCAAACACTTCAGAGCAGCCCTTTTGAAAGGGCCCCAGAAGAAAAAACATGTTGAAATGACTAAAACATGATAGGAAACACAAACTAAAATTAAATGAGCAAAGTTTGGATGGATCTGCTTAGTTTATATGGACCTGCTGGAAACTGACTGTAACTGTTTACAACATCAGACTGTATTTTTGGAAAGTGTTGAAGAGACGCTAAAGGTATTACTGCATCAAAAATTGAATGAGGCCATCTTAGCGAAATGTAACAAAACTAAACCAAACTGATTTTTACTGTGAAATATCAATGCAGTGTTTGTCTAGAAAAGGAGGAGTTTTAAAAAGGATGTTATTTAAATGTCTTTATGACAAAAATGAAGTTCACGACACACAGCTGCCTTGTGTTTGTCACCTGCCTGAGAGTAGCATTGTGTTATGGTGACATGGCATTCTGAAACCACTTTTATGATTTTATTAATAATCACACTAGGATTATTATTATTATTATTATTGAATCTCTTCATAATTTGAATGTTTAGTGTTTTAGATCATTTTTGTTATTTACTTATTCAGTGCTTCAATTTAAATCAGTTTGTACATCAGGCAAATGATTTGGTTATTTATTTTTTGCTATTTCCCTGTTCATGGCAGAAATCATGTTTCACAGTCTGACTGAATATCTGCAGTTAAATCCATGAAATAATAACAAAAAAGATCTGAAGTTTTAATATGCCGTAGAAAAGTAGAAAAACTCAAAATAATCTCAAAAATAAATATAAAAAAATATGTAATTGACAACCTATTATGTAATAGAGGATTTCATGATTTGACGTGTATAGTACTGTATTTAATGATGTGTTTAGGGTGACTACTGGTGAAGAGGGACACTTAAACTCAAGCATCATCATTAATGTAAGATGACATCATTGTAGTCATTTGTATTATATTATAAATAAACAGAGGCGATGACAAATGATCAAAAAGTGTTCCAGTTGACCTGTATTCACCATATTAAATTATGGTGTACATGCCTGCTATCTTTTGAGGATTGAAGCCGGGTTGTATTATGATCAGGGAGTTAATCATATACTTAAAGAGTGTTATTTATTAGTCAACATTATATTTCCTTGAACTTTGAAGAACAGATCAATGCTTTTAAGCATTGCAAGCCGCAGCGCTTCACAGACGTGTCACACTGAACTAGTTGGACTTTATAAATAGACCAATAGGAACAATTTAAACTGCTGAACAAAATGGACATATGATCTTGTGATTTTTTTTTCCTCATATGGTTGGGAAACAACACATTGGACGTGATCAAGGAAGACGAGCCTGCTGATGTGACTGAGAACAGTGTACAGTACAGAGGGACTCGATGCTACCTGCACACTTCAGTGCGTCCGACCAAGCATAAATCTCGATATGCTACTCACGATATGTTCTGTTTGTTTGCCTGTGAAGGCATTTATTCTATGTAATCGTCTAGCTTAGATCAAACTAGACAACAGTCTGTACTATTTTTGTATTTGATTGAACAATTTTAAACTACTGAAAGATCAAATGGGCACTCAGGAGGTAAAGGAAAAACGTGTTTTCTGCCAAAGAAATGTATCACGTGATGATGTGGCACAAGCCGGATTTGCGTCCTGTAAGTTATTCTGATTCAGAGCAGCGGATTCACAGATTTTTCCTGGGAAACTTGCCTGTACGATGGTTTTGAATTGCAGTATAATGTTAAGCGAGAGTGTATGTAATTCTGTTCCTCAAATATGTCACAAATTTAGTGAGAAAAATAAAACTATTCTGTTTGACAGTTCTCTCTTGCAGTTTGTTGTTGTTTTAATATGTAACTTTCATTACAACACATTAAAAGCAGAGTCATCATAATATATGGGTGATTCTATAATTGGAAATACATTTGGCATCGCAGAAAGTTAAGAAAAAAAACTTTTCACTAACAGATTTTTTTTTTTTGTATCTTATTTAATAATTCAGTGCTTGCCAAACACAAGTTACTTCCTTCTTTTACTTTTAATGAAAAAGCAGATGTCTTTATGGTATTGTTTGTCAACTTTGTTACGGACAAATTAGCCAATGTGTAGAAATAACAATAAATCATAACAGGAAAAATCCTTCTTGTTTCATTAGACAAACAGTCCTTACATTCCATCACTTGAAACTGAGATAATATTTCACCCCTTAAAAATTAAAAAATACCTATGTCTTTACAGAACCGTCCACTTGGAGCAAATATTTTTCATCTGAAAATATATTATATACAATATCCAGTTAAAAAAATAAATGTTGTTAAAATATTATAAGGGTGCAAAAATAAATCAATAATGTTTATTTTTTGTGAAAATAGTTCATAAACAGAGTTGACCCTTTAAGTAACAGAATTGTAAAGTAACAGAATTGACAGAATTGTCCGATGGACTGTCAATTCTGTTACCACATTGTCAGCATTGTTACTCTACCTTGGTAACAGAGTTTGACAGTAACAGAATTGACCATTTTCTTTATTTTTTGCCCAAAACTCCACTTGCTAGCATAAATGCTAAGAGCACATGTCAGTAATGAAATCATGATTAAAAGACTTTTAAATAACACAAAGTGTGATCAATGAAAAAATCTGTTTTCCTTTTGATATTGTGGTAACAGATTTGACACTTTATAAAATAACTCTTGGTGTAAGAACTTTTTAGATTTAAACATTTCCTTATAGAGAGGACATAGACTTTTCAGTGCTTCAGATCTTAACAGTGAGGGAAAGTGACATCATTTCCTGTATCTTACATAGTTGTGGGAGATAATTCCACCAATTTAAAGGCAAAATATGGTACGGTAACAGAGTTGACGCAAGATTTATGGACACACATTTTTATAAGAAAAAAAAAATATATATATATTTTTTAATAATGTTGTAGAATTAGGTAAATGACTCTTTAGGGCTTTTATAAATAAAATGAATGAAATATTACAAAAAGAAAAGTACAATAAAATATTTTGATTACACAATGATACATGATGGAAAAAATGCACAGACTAATTTGGACAACAAGAAATCATGATTTTCAGCTATTTAAGACACGTTTTGCAAAAAAAGATTATATTGTTATGGACTGTAACATCTTGTAATTCATAACAATGAGTAACACAGTACTAAAATAATAAAAAATATAACCATCTGAAAAAAGCTGAAAAAAAAATAATGACTTCGGACACCAAATGTACCTGCAATTATAGAATCACTCATATGCTAGATGGCAGCGTAACTGTAATATTTCAAATTGATGTTTTAGCAGGATAAATAAGATAAACACACAGGTAACCCTCAGTTTTATACAACTGGCTGTTTTATTAGACTTTCTACATATATTATTTGTGCATATTGTTTGATATGACACATACAAGTGCAAAAACAAAGAAAACAGAGGAAAAAAAATATAATTCTTAAATGGGCTACCAAGTGGATCATATAAACAAATTCTCCGGATAAAATGATTCCAGTGAAACACAAAGTATTTTCTCTCGATTTTCCATTCTCACTCTGTTCACATACAATATTTACATCGTATATGTACATGTATAAGAATACAGCATTCATAAACAGTGACTGTTGCTACATCTTTTCATTTGGAAGTTTGTATTATGTATTTTTTCATCTCCGTTTTCTGATGCTGTTTGGTATGTACAACCCACTAATGTGCTAATTGATGTGGATTTTGTTAATGAGTGAAAACAGGTGATATGTGTTACTGAAAGGCTTTAAAACCCCTTAGTTTGTGGCACTCTTGTAGGAGAGTGGCGTTGTTTGTGTGACATGCGATTATGGAGTCGATTTGTGTGGGAAAAAAAGTAAGATAAAGCGGAAGATAAGGGGGGAGGCCATGCTTGAAGAGCAGTCTTTCTAATATATAGTTTAATAGAGATACAAAATAGAGAGGAGAATAGCTGTGAGATCTATCTTTTAGGCCCTTCTTAAGAGATCTTGAGGTTTTGGTATTTGCAAAAATTATATCTTGCTTGCTACATTGGAAATGTGGCCAAAAGAATATGGTCACTATTATGGTTTAGGAAAGGCTGAAAATCTTCTTGGCTGTTTGCTACAAGAAGTGCAGATTAAAATGAAAATCTAATGTGAAAATCTAAATTTCACCGTTCTTTGTTGAATTGCCCTTCGTTAGTTAAATATGATCGTGGCACTTGAAGTGTATTTTTCTTTTTCTGTGGAATACAAAAGTAAGCAAGATTTTGCCAACTGTTCCTTTACCTCACAATAAAAGCTCCAATAGAAGAAAATAAGTAGGGCTATTATACAAGTCTTCTGAAGCCATGTGATAACTTTGTGTAAAGGACAACATTTAAGTCATTATTGACCAAGAAAATCTGCACTTTTTGTGTTTGACATGAGCAAGCACCAGAATCATGATAGTGATATGAAATTCCAACCTCTACAGTAAAATCAATCATGTAATATATCATATAAAATGTGTTTATATTAAATGAAGAGGTGCATTATTGTTCAAATATCAATTCGAAACAAGTCAACCAAAGACAAATATTCTATACGGTTGCAGGAGGGCAGCAGATTTTTACAGAATCCTACATTTGTGTAGTATGAGACAAAAACACATTGTAGAAAAGAATCATGCAATACATTATACTTGGTCATTTGAGCAGTTTTCCTCAATGGACCAAACAGACCTTCTTGAGGTCTTCTAAAAATAATGAGGTCTTACTAAATGTATTTACATTTGTGTATTCTATATATTAAGAAAAGAAAAAAAGTTTCAGTTTATTTCAGTCATACACAGAAATCCACTTAATATGGATCATCAACTAGTGGCAATACTTGAATGATCAGAAGCTCAGAGCTTGGTTGTTTTGTTGCTTTGACTGTGGATTGTGGGTAATTTGCTGTAAGAAGGTTCTGTACAGTAGCTCTAGTCCATGTGTGTCCAAATTGATGTCCTAATAAGGGAGTCGAGATCCAAGGTCTTCGGTTATAATGAGTTTGGGTTTCTGCTTGCTGTTGGAATCGCTTTGTCTTTGGCGAGATGCGAGCACAAATGTGGTGAATTGGAAAGGATCCGTCACTCTAAAACACAAAAATACAAACCATAACATCATATAAAGGACAGACATGCCATTGTTTCTAAGCATGCTTAAAAGTTATTACCAAAAATCTTGAAAAATAAAACATGCAGCATTCATTTAAAATAAAGATGCATGAAGCCTGATATTTGAGGGAATAGAAATATAAGGAAATGAAAATACACACTTGAGATTATTCGTGCTATAAAATCAGACATGTTGATTGTAATTCAAGTTCAGTCTCTTCCCTGAGTCATTTATGCACCTGTGGCTTCTCAAAAGATTCATGTCAGACTCACTATTTTGAAAGCATGTCAGGAAATGATCACATCATATTTTGCATTCAGATATGACATTGAATGTGTAAATTGAATTCTTTAGAAAGCTGGAGCTTTACGTGAAAGTGAAACTGAAGTAAAACCAGTTATAACCGTGTTTGACATGCTATACATAATATACAGAGACCCAAAAAGTATTTTGAATACTTAAATGTGGTCTGAATAATTGTACAACCACGAAGTATCTCAAGTTTTATGCTAATTTTTTTATATATTTAAAATGAACAAATAAAAAATACTATTTGTTTTGTTATATTTAATGGAATGACATTTCAATTTTAAGCATTTAAATACATTTTGGGCCCATTTTATTCTTTGAAGATTTGCATTTGAAATGAAGATATTCAATGCTGTCAGAAGCATGCCATTTTCTTTTACGTTTTTTTTTCCCTATACATTAAAATTATAAATGATCATGGAGATATAACTGCATCGTTTACTCACTCAAAAGCGTTCAAATTCAGGAACCACACTGAAAAAATGAGAAAAGGCCTGGAGTTTATTTATTTAATGAAAGAAACTATAAATTCTTATATAACATATATATATATATATATAAAACCAAGACAGTGCTTAACCTTCAGAAAATGCTGATCATCAACTACAGAAGGTCAAACCAAAGGACAGCAACTTTTTACAGTGAATCAGTTCAGCAGATTGTCAAAATTGTGATATCGGAGTTTAAAAAATGCTTTCAATCATGAGATCAAATAAAAATGTGTTTAAATTAGAATTTTTGGAATGAAAAAAAAATCCTGACCATGTTTAATAAGAGTAAAACGAGTAGAACAGTGAAAGCTGCGTTCTATATGAAGAATGTAATAGTATTAATCTTATTGAGTATTATGACGACTAAAAAAACTGCACAGGCTGGGATGATTAAAAGAAACCATCAGCTGACAATTACAGATCAATTTAGAGACCTATGAATTAAACTGTTGACAATTACAAAGTCATCAATAAAAAATTTAATTATGACAAAAAGGTCATAAAATCAAGCTAAGAAATGACTACACCGCTTTAATCTGAAGAAATGTTTATTCATCTTTTTAAGAGTAAAAAGTCACATGGTCATTTAGCAACATTACACTGTTCTGGTGTCGCCCAAAATACATGCACATTGGAGTTTATATACTTTACTGTACAATTATTGTACTTTCTCTCCTTTTAGATCCAAAAAGTGGGCATTCCAGAAGAAAAGGACATATATAAATATCATGACAGAGGTGGAGTTCTCTCTTAGCGTGGCGGCTGTACCATGGCCTTTACTCTAGTGCAGAAAGAAGAAACACTGGCACTGGCTTCCAGTCCTTGACACCTTACTGCTTTTGTTTCTAAATTCATCAAAACAGAGATGAAGAGTGTTGGCAGATCTACAGCAAGACGTTGGTTTAGTTACACACAGAAAAAGACAAAGATGGGGGGGGGGGGAATATCAGGAGGAGACACAGACACAAAGAACCTGGCAGGGTCTTTAGTGCAGGAAAGCAGGAGAAAAGTAAAAGTGTAAAATCTGTCGTCTTCACGCATACTTTGTGGTAATAATGAAGGTGCTTTTTATTTAATTGTGCATCACCTTCATGTACAACAAATCGACTTTTCAAGTACAATACAGAGAAAATGTAAAGCAGCGCACCTTTAAACAATTACTAGAGCAGACAAGCAATGTTTCTATCACATCAGAGAAACGTTGTCTCTTTTATAGCTTAATCATAAGCATTTTGCTTCTATGAAAAAGGCAATTTCAAAGCATTTAATCAGTTCCCTTTCATTACAACACTGGAACTAAAAGACTTCAGCTTTCACTCCTGTGAAAAAGGCTAAAAAACTCACACAAGTGGTGTGTAAGTGTATCGTAAGCATAGAAGATAATGATCAAATTGATACTAAACAAAAAAGGATGGTATCAAAGTTGGTTATTGCTGTTTTTACATATGTTTAGAATCAAAAAGCTGTACAGGGATCCACAGTGATCTTGTTGAACCAAATCAAACAATGTATCCATGTCAAAAAAAAAAAATCAGAAATACGATTACAATTCTACATTCGATTTAAAGTTATAGTATTTACAAATATTATGTGCTATGTACAAGGCACTGGATCACATGGATTATATTAAGACTTGGCACATCATGATTATGGATGTATCGCTGCAATGACCGCAACACAAACATCAGTGCAGAAAAGAAAAAAATGGATAGTTCAGATTCTAAAATCTGATGGATTTTATTCTACATTAATAAAGTTGAGACGTTGCTTGGCAACCGTAACTGGCCCTAGACTAAAACTATATTGTTCATTTCTTTCTGCTTTTATTTATACAAGCAATGAGTCACCTGTTGCCATGTGTTACGGTGATTTACCATGGTTAGAAGGGTTATACCTCTTATCTGTGGTGAAATCACTAACACACAGCTTCTCACTGCTTGTACCTTTATGCGTGGTTGGTGATGAGACATGGATATGTAGGTAGGTACCAGTTGTCTTTTCTTTCATGCATGAACCATGAATTCCAGAAACAACCGATTTTTGTCATTTATATTTAAAGAATTTGTTTCAATTCAATCTTCACTTGAGACACAGGGAAGGTCAAATGTACTGCACATCAGAATCTACAACACTTGACGCATTTAGATACTTCATTGACTCCAGATGAGATATGAGATCATGGAGGCCCTTTACATCAGCAATATAAGCAATGAAATGTAAAAACACTGAAAAAAAAAACTGCTTAGGTATCATAATATAAATAAGTATTTGTGTCCCGTAGAAGAAAATAATATAATAAAATGATGTAAACAACAGAATTGTAATTTTCTTGTAAACTATTCCTTTAAATACGTGGACCCCTGGATGGCAAAAGTTATGCATTTAGTTTAAACATTGCTGACATGTACATGCATGAAAGACAGGCAAGAGATACATATAAACAATTCAACATGTTTACTGAAGCAAGTTCAACATCCTCATGATAGAAGCGTATAATGAGGAAGGTCAACATGGAATACTCAGTATTCCGGTTCCGTTAGGCTGCTTCCAACTGGGATAAAATAAGGGAAATAGAAGGTGGGAAGGGTGGATCTAGATCCTCTTCCTCTGAGGGTGGAGTGAAGGGGAATGGATTGTTGAGAGATGAAGGAAGACAGGGGAGTGTGTGTGGACGGAGGGGAGGGTGGTGTCTGTGTGTTTGTCTGTCCTCTCACACTGTCGAAATCAATTTGCCCTCCGCACTGTGAAACAAAGAGAGGGAGATGCTGCCAGGTTGGCTTTGGACACAGACACATTAAAGCACAGAGAGCATAAAGCCCTGATGCTCAAGGAATAGTTCACCCATAAATGAAAATTGGCATAATTTACTCACACGTTCCAAACCTGTGTGACTTTCTTTGTGGAAAACCAATGTACTGAAGCTTTTTTTCCCCCCAGTTATAATGAATGAGGACTGCAGCTTATCAGGCAAAAGCACCATACAAGAATACAAATTAGTCCATATGACTTGTGCACTACTGCAAGTGTTCTGGATCCAATTATGTCAACTTTGAGTGAGAAACAGATGGAAATTTACACTGTGCACTGATAACCTTTCCCTTCAAAGCTGAAGTCAAGAACCACAGCAGTCAGATTCATTGAACGGGGTTCATGAGATTTATGAATATAGGAAGTTCGTTTTTTGAACCTAGAAAGTTCCAATCTCCATTTTTTTTTTTTTTTTTTTTTTTTTTTTTAAGGAAAGAAGAAAGTCCTTTGTCATGACATTAGGGTGAGTAAAAGATAACTTTTTTTTTTTTGCATTTTTAGGTGAACTATCCCTTTAATGTTACTGCTAATACTAATCTCTATTAATGCACATTACAAACAAGTGATGGGCTGCATTTCCTATAAGTCACATGTATGTGGTTCAGAAGTAAAATGTAAACAATTCAAATGTATACTAATCAGAAATCAGAAAATGCTTTACGACAGACCCATACACTTTTATTGGGAAAATGGAGCCCATTGTTTTAAATGCATCATGGGAGTCAAATCTAAATGGTGTGTACAGCAAGATGTAAAGTGAACTACAGATTTAAAATATTGGGGGTAGCATGTGGAAAATTGCTTCTCATGAGAATTTCCCTACAGAAATAAAAGTTGGAACACTTAAAGAACATTTAAGACAGACACACATGGACAGCAAAAGCAAGAATGGAATGGAAACTTAAATGAAAAAATAAATAATTTTAAATATTTCATCTATACCTACTTAAAATTTTGTGATGCTAAGGAATTTGGAATAAAAGCTGGGAATGGTCTTCCCCATAGATGCCCTAGAAATGTTTATTTATTTACTTATTTTATTCATTTATTGTTTACAGCAATGTCACACAAGGTGCTTTGTACAATACCAAAAAAAAAGAAAAAGTTCATTCAAATTGATAAAGTATGGCTAGAACATGTTCGAGAGAGTAGATAACATCTATGGGAAAAGACCATAAATGACTGACTCTATTATTGCGAGGCTTATGAAACCCATTTAAACAATCAGAGGTTTCTCCCTTGTTCAATATGGGTTTAGGTGACGTTTGGTCACCCGTCCACCTTATGTTTGGGCTAGACCTTCAGAAACATCAGCTATGTTCGTCTGCTCCGGCTGCAGGTCAAGCAAACAAGACTTTTTTGCTTGCCATAATCAAAATTCAAAATATTTATGTGGGATTTTTGTATTCAAACAAAAACAGAGAGGAATAATTCAAATTAAAAGAAACAAAGAAAGAACTTATAGACAAACTAAAACTCTTTTTAAATATTGTGTCTGTTCAGGGGGCATATGAGTAAGTGAAAACTTAGGTCTTACCTCGTTTGGAATCGAGGCTGGTACTCCTCCAACCCTTGCTGTGAAGGAAAAGAGAACATCTTTTAGTCATCTGCTTTTCCACAAATGTCCAGTAGACGGCAGTAGAAGAATGCATAACACTTATGAACTGCAGTATTGATGATAGCTAAAGCATCTTTATTGTAACCAGGAATAAAAAAGGAGGTTATTGAGTGCAGTGCATCCTGAACAGGAACAATGGCAAGAAGTTGAACTAACTGAGCATTGACTTAAGCAAAACTCAATAAATACTGAATGCACTAAAATGGGGACCCTGGGGTAATGATGAGAGATGTTTGTTGCTGGCTTTGTTACATAACAAAGCCCTACTTCTGATGTATTTCAATGCTGCTCCAAAAGTATTTGCATGCTTATTCATATATATTTAAGTCTGTAATGTCATTGCAAGTGTAATTATTTCAGTGAAGTATAGTACACAAACATGTTTTGCTGTGTATACAGTATATATCTGTACCTGTATGAAAATGTATTTAATTTTGAAGTGAAGACCTCCACAGACACACACTCTCTCTCATTGCAGTCATTTCTCTTTGTTCCCACTCCAAACCCATCTATTTGTAAATCTCTCAAAATGGCCTCGCAAAGGGAAGTTTAATCAAACAGGACAGGTCTTTTCTAAAGTGGGCTCAGGCTGCTAAAATAACACACGGTCACAGGCAAAAACTGATCCCGGTTTAGGGTAATGTCCTTTAACGTCCTCTATGCGGTTAGCTGGAGATTGGGCTGCTCTAATCGAACTTTCGCCCCGCTATATTTCAGCATGTCTGATAAATGCCTGCGTAAGGTGATTTAATGCTTTAGTACTATTAACATTTTTATAGAATGCTATACTAATATCTGCATACTACTGTCAAGGTTAATCTGTGTGTGCTGGATGTAGAATGACACTGCACTGAGAATAGACAGGAAGTGTGTGTGTGTGTGTGTGTGTGTGTGTGTGCACATAGCCTACTTGTGAGAATCCTGGCATTGCCATGCTGTATGGTCTCTGTCGGCTGTGTGGTGTGCTCTGCTGCTGGGTTAGGAAGCGTGTGGGCATGCCGTAATCAGGTGTTGGCAAAACCATGTCTCTCTCCAGAAGATTTCCTGTGCTGCTGCTCCTGCTATGCTGCAAACTACAAACACACATATACACACCATTAAAGTCAACTTGATGTTTGCTGCTCATATTATTTCTCTAACGTGGCATTTCTGAAAAATGTAGTCCAGGACTTTATTTTATCCCTAAAATAAATGGAATGATTGGATCAAGAAATTGGGCATTGTATAGTAGAATGGAGCCAAACGTAATGCACAATTGCTAAAATAATGCCTAAATAGCTAATTATGCATTATGACAATGGCTAACATTATCCAAGTGATACCAGTAAAAATGAAAATCGTGTCAGAGAAAGAGCAAGACCCTATATTTTCAATTAAAGGTTACGAGGATATTTTTTCTTTGGAATAATATGCACCGATGAATCAATCACAACAAAACTATGAATGCGCACGAATAAAGTAAACAAGGTCAGTTTTGATTGGTCATGTCAACATTAACGTCTTTTATGCACACGCATCAAGCCTTTCTCAATTGTATGCTTTATGGTGTTACACAAGTCATGATTTAAACATTCATGGTATTTAAACATTGAAAGGGCTTTTGTAAAACTCATTAATATTCAGACAGACTCACCTAACATGGAGTTTATTGCTGTCTGGTTCAGGAATCATGCGGGTATAGGAGAACGGGAACCAGCCTCTCCTGAAAGAACACATACAACGTAGAATTTGAAGCTGATTCTCTGGTTCATCAAATCTCTTAAACTTATTTTCATAATTAAAAATCTTCTTGTTTTTCTGTACACACCCTATGCATGAGTAAATTTTATTGTGAAGTTAACCACAAGATACGTACATTCTGTTTTTCTCGTTTTCACCGTAGTGCCAGCCGTCCCGGGCTTCAGGCACTAACAGTGTGATGATGTCTCCTTCCGTAAAGCTGAGGAGTGTGCTGTTGTCCCCGGCGGCATGGGAGAAGAGGGCCTGAACGCGTGTCCGTCCATTTCTCTCCAGCCCAGCTGCCATCGAGCTTGACCTGGGTAGGGTTTGTGTCTCTGCTGGGGTTAGAGATTAGAAATCCATACTGAGCAATTTTTTATAATTATGCGAAAAGAAAAACAGTTTATAAATAAATGTACATTTCATTCAGTACATATCGTACAATCCAATAGATTAAAAATGAACTTTTACCTAATATTTGTGTATATATTTGTTGTATTTTTGCATTTGGAATATTTGTTTTAACATACTAACATCAAACTATTGTAAACCGTTAAGTCAAAACGTTTGTTTGCTGCATGTGAGAAGGACAACTTGAGTCGCTTCCTTCAAAACGGTCACTTATGAGATTTTATTTCAGTTACGATGCTGCCTAAGTAGGCAACAAGGCAGCTCGGTAGGTTCAGGAACACATTTAAAATTCCACCTAAAGGTCATGTACAACACTGATTAAGAGCGCTCGTTTCCGCTGCTTCTTAAAAATACTTCCCTCAAAGTGAAATTATACCCTTCACCTACTTTCTCTCCATTTTAAAAGCTGTCCTCTCTATTCCCACCTGCTCTGCCCTGTTTTCATTTCCAGCAGTGTTTGCCCTGTTATTGTCCACTCACTACTTTCTCAAGGAGAGAGAGAGAAAAGCACAGGTGCACAGAAACTGACACAGCTGTAAATAAAGACGACAGATTATTAAGTCATATAGAGATGCTGGGTATTGAATAAACAGCACTGAATACTTCCAAATGTCGTGATCGGAGTTACTGTGTGCATTATCGAACTGAAGTTCCTTAAAGGGATAGTTCATCCAAACATTTTTTACCACGACACATACGTGTGGTGCTGCTGACATAAAACACGCATGGGCTGCGTCTTGTTTACAAGCAGAGGAATACACACGCATGCGTTATGGTACTCTTGTGAATGGCGGCAGACACTGACAAGGAAGGGAAGAATTGTTGAATAAAAGTTGTTATTTTTGTTTTCTTTGCGCACAAAGTATTCTCGTAGCTTCGTAAAATTACAGTTGAACCACTGATGTCACATGGACTATTTTGTCGATGTTCTTGTTACCTTTCTGGTCCTTGAACGTGGTAGTTACCTTGCTGGATATGCAGGGTCAGAAAGCTCTCAGATAAAAAAAATATCTTAATTTGTCTTCTGACGATGAACAAAGGTCTTACGGGTTTGGAATGACATGAGGGTGAGTAATTAACTACAGAATTTTCATTTTTAGGTGAACTATCCCTTTAACTTACCCAGAGTGTTCTTGGGCTTTACAGGCGCAACCTTGCGGACAGGCAGGGTGTTGGAGAAGGTCTCTACGCCGTGTCTGTGGGCTGGTTTCTCATGTGCGGCTCTGGTCTCCATCCAGCGTTGGTAGTCTTCTCCGCCATGGACCCCTGAGCCATTCACCATGGGAACACTATCTGCTCCCATCATCCTCTGCAAGATACAAGTCACATTTTTTAGGAACAATTAAGACACCTAGTTTCCATGTATACTTGAATACATATATTTTTTTCTCCAATCTCTTAAAACAACAACAACAAACACGACAGTCGCAATACTCCCAAATGGGATTTAAATGAATGTCCTCCCTTATAAGATGCAGCTTTTTTTAACCCATGTCTTTTACACCGTTTTGTCAGCTGTGCCGCAGGAGATGTTACTGCACTCTGATAAACTGTAAACTAAAGAGAGCTGTAAATGCCAGCAGGTTTCTGATTATTCTTTTCACAGCATTGTGATCATTATGGAACAGTATTTTAATGACTTCATCTATACTGAATTTGAGAACTCTCTCATTCCTATGGCCGTGAGTGCGTGCCCCCACTCTCCCAAACACCCTCAGGACTTAATTATACACATCATTAATGCAACCATTTACAAATTATCTAGTTGCAGTTGAGACACTGTATCATTTTGTGGCTCACACTTTTTTTTATTTGGGTCAGACTAGGTTTCTAACTCACCATCTGTTGGTTCCCCATGAGAACTGCGAGCTCAGGGGGCACAGGAAGTGGCTTGGCCCCAGGGATGGGGTCTGAGATGGTCAGGCTAGATTTAGAGGTGTGGTGGACACTGGGACCCAGCGTCCCTGTCACTCCTGAGCCCATTTGCTGAGCCAGAAGCATCGCCCGCTCTGGGAGTTTATTTGGGTCGGCACATGCTTGTTGCCACAATGGTATCTTTTGCGTCAGCAAGTCTCTGCCCTAAAAACAAACAAACAGCGCCACAACTAGTATTAGCACTCAGCATGAGTGATGCAAGCATTACACACCTGTGAGAGAATAATTTAGATTAGTCTAGAAAACCCATGTGGGCAAATCAAGCATAACAGACCAAATACAGGCCCTCTCTGTGAAAAACTTAGTTCCTGCACAGCAGAGGTTTCAGGGGTGAGCTCTTCAATTGATGGACTGATAGGGAGAGGGAATACGATAAAGTGATCCCTCCTCACCTCGCGTTCCTCTGAAGCTCAGAGACATCCCTCTCTATCCTGACAACCTCCCCTCCCTGTTGGTTGAAGCCTGAAATAGCCTCATTACACTGCCTTATGCACAGGCAGTGAGCCTGGCTGAGCTCTACGACCAGTAGCAGTAAGAGAGATGAGGAACGCCTAGAGACCTCCGAATGTAGAGCACAGGAAGTGCAACTTTATCTTTGGACACTTTTCTGTAATTCAGATCATCTGTTTGAGTGGTACATGAATGCTTATTTAAAACTCTGAAGACCCAAATTTCAGAGAGATGTGACAAATGAAAAGTTAATCAATTTGTGTTGCGGCATTTTAGTGTTTTAAATCTACCTGCATCATCCACCAAATTTTGGTTCAGTGCAAAGTTCCTTTAACATAAGAGTGTTAAACGTACTACACACTACACTGGGTGAAAAGTCTTCTAAATGCCTACAGCCTTGTAACATGTCAATGCCTTTCATCTAATCTTTTTTTTCTCACTCTCCTTCGCTCTGTACTCATAATACCTCTATAGTCTGTATTTGGCTGACACAGGTCAGTACCCTGTCTACTGTGCCCCTACGGTCTTTTTCTAAGTCACAACCACATACCACCCCACCCAAAGCAATTATCACCTGCCTGCCTGTCTGAGCACCTGTGGACTTTGGCACGACCTCACTGGGTTCATAAAAACACTCTTCAGGAGTGCAAATTGGCAGATCCTAGTCACCATGAAATTAAAATGGACAATTCTTATTTTTTATGCAATATTACAGTGCTTATTATAAATGGAAATAGAAAATGAAATGATGAGCGCAGTTTCCGTTTCATCCGGACGTTAAATGCTGATCCAAAAGTTTGAAGAGTAGCAGGACAGATCATGTGTAAAGTCATAAGATTCAGTAGTCACAGCTCATTAAACTACTGCCAAGATGAAGCATTTGCGATTTTAACATTGTTTTAAAAGGACAGTTTACCTCAAAATGAAAGTTCTGTCATTTACTTACTCGCATGTTGTTCCTTGGTGGAACACTAATGAAATACTAATAAAGACCCTACAAGTCTTGTCTCTGTTGTAGCTCTTAAATCTCATTCATTTACATTCAAAAATGATACTTAAAGACATGTTTATCAAAGATGCTAAACAAGAATGTGGAAGAGCAAATGATATTTGAGAGCTCTGAATACAGTATGTGAATAACTATTAAAACCAAAATAACCAGCCTAAGAAGACTTGAAATACTGAGCCAAAAAAAAAAAGAGTAACTATGCTGCAAAATATGCTGATCTCATCCTTTTTGTGTTCCATGTTAAAATCATACAAGTCTGGAAGGACATATGTGAATGTCAGTTTCATTTTTGACACTAATGAAATACTAATAAAGACCCTTCAAGTCTTGTCTCTGTTGTAGCTCTTAAATCTCATTCATTTACATTCAAAAATGATACTTAAAGACATGTTTATCAAAGATGCTAAACAAGAATGTGGAAGAGCAAATGATATTTGAGAGCTCTGAATACAGTATGTGAATAACTATTAAAACCAAAATAACCAGCCTAAGAAGACTTGAAATACTGAGCCAAAAAAAAAAAGAGTAACTATGCTGCAAAATATGCTGATCTCATCCTTTTTTGTGTTCCATGTTAAAATCATACAAGTCTGGAAGGACATATGTGAATGCCAGTTTCATTTTTGGGTCAGCTTTGGTCATTGATCACCATGTAGTATATTGGGTAAAGCTTAGGGCTGTTAACTGGCATGTTGCTAGTTCAAACCCCTCAAAGAGTAAAGCACTTGATCCCAAGTTGATCCAAGGGGAATGACCCTGAAATAAGTGTACAGTAACTATTATTACTTTGGATAAAAGCATATGCTAAATCTTGCTAATAGGCAGTTAGTAGTGGTCTCAGAATTGCATTTGTGTGAAAAGGCATCACACAAATGCAATTCAGAGACCACTACCTAACTGCCTACTAGTTCCCAAGAAATCTGTGAACCCTGTGTGCAAATTTCATTACATGTTTAAGATGTTTCTTTTCAATTTTCTTCCCAGTGGTAAAATCTCTTAGTCATCTGAGCATGAGAGAGTTTTTATACTCTCTTTGTTCCTTCTGCCCTCAGTTGCAGACGAGTGAGTAAGTATCAAGTACCATGACTGGTGTGGGCGACGGTGTTAAGATCCAGCCATGACAAACTCTGGCAGATGGTCAGTTTAGTTCACGTCACTTTGCTCTTCCTGTTCTCACAAAAGTGGATAATAAAGTAGTACTTCGTAGAATAGACTCCAATATAATCTTCCCCTGTTAGGTAATGCCTCTTTGTCTTTGTCTAAAATGTTTCTGGAGTTGCCTGCAGAGAAATTTCTTCAGTATGAATCTTCCTACACACATACATGAAAACAGTGATTATCGTCTGAACAGTCTGTTCTTGTAAAAGTGGGCCACTCTCTGCCTGGCCCTCCCTTTTTCTTCTCCTTCTCTTGCCATCGTTGCTCCCAACACTCTGTCTATCACCGATTCTGAAATCGTGAGCGTCACAGTAGAGGAGTGAATCTCGCTTACGTGGGAATGAATGGCGTTCTTCTGCATGCTGGTGAATCCAACAGATATCACCAGATCTCTACTCTATTTTTGTTCAGTGTGAATGTAATGTTCTAAAAATAATAATCATCCTTCACCCTTGTGTTTGATATATGGGCAGCACCACCTTGATCAAATCCCCTTGATACAATTAGTAAGCAATAAAATGTAGTTTTGATTATAAATCATTTTGCATTGTAAACAAAACCCAATTTTACGGCACTGGCATGAGTGTCTTTTTGACACAATCTAAGAAACTTTCCCAAAACATACAGTATAGCACATTCTCTAGCAAGCATGGTGGAATGATCAGCACCGAAATGAAATGAATGACTTGACTAAATGGGATTTGGGAGCAGAAACAACTGAACACAGAGTATGGAGTTGTTAGGAGTATTTACTTAGCAAAATGGATACTTATAATTAATATATTATATGATCTGTATTAATACACTACATGACTGAAGGTTAAAGACAACATGTAATCAAAATTGAACTTGTATACTTTTTTAGATGTCTTTGTCTTGTAAAATTTTCTAATGTAACCACGGTCACGTTGACATAAAAGAGGCTTTATCAGTTTAACTGACCAAATGACCCAACCAAATATTGATTAAATCAAATTAACCTTACTAATTACTAGCTTCACTTCAAAATATGTCACATTGCGGAAGCTAAATGTGTTGTAAATGGCATTTCATGTTGTCTTTAACACATTTACTGTAAATGTGCAAATAATGGCTAAAATGCATGCTTAACACAAGTTTTATTTAAATTAACTGAATTTCAGTGTTTCTGCAACCCAAATTTTCTTCAGCATGACATGAATTCTCACCTTGGTGTAGTAGGTGTTGCTCGTTTTGGCCACTGCACACTGACGGTCAACAAGGAAGCAATACCTCCGTCTCTCTTCGGACAGGGCATTCTTGTAGCTCTCAGCGATGTAGTTATCCAGCTCATTTTGTTTGCTGCTGATGGTCTCGACGTACTGAGGGACAGGGAAGGTGGCATGAAGCAGACATAAAAAAAATGACAAACAATGCCCCAGTTTAACGCAGCCTGATGTAATGAAGGCCATGCTAGGAGAACCGCACATTTCAAATGACAACCATGTAGGCTTGCTGTTACTCTCATTGTACGGAAGCAAATGGGAATGCTAAAACTCAATAATCCATAGCACGCAAAGCTGGTGAGGGCTGAATTTAACTGGCCTAACAAATATAAATAAAAATAAAATAAAACTCAAGTATCCCAACATATAAATTACCAAGGCTGCTGCCTCGGTAAAGATCGCGCCACAGCCAAAACAACATCTAACAAGGACATACACCTTGCAGGAACTGGATGCAATCCAAACTGCGCACACACAGTGACACCCTTCATAAGGTTATTCAACCTGTGTAGATATTGTGATATCACAGAGTTATGCTGATTCCTTCCCACCAAGTGTTAATGAACAATCACTGTTTGCAAGTCTATTATTAGTCTGAAGTTAGAAAAGGCCATTGCATCATGCAAAAATGTGTTATGGGTTCATACATAGTGACGTATGAATGTGAACAATGTTCACACAGACTCTCAATCTTTGAGTTTCATGGGTTTAGTGCCTTGCACAGCTGAAATGAATAAAGCAATGCCTCATCCAGTGTTTAAAACTCATTTGGTACACATCTGGTCTATGACACCAGCACCAAAACACAGTTATGTAGGTTTTGTTGCTCTAATGTACATCAGATAGACTTGTCTGTAATGCTTTAGCATTAAACTAATGTGCGAAAGAACATGAGAGATGAAAGAGAGGAAATGAAAAGAGATACAACACCTCAGCTTTGACTAGGAAACAGATGTTGTAGTGTCAAATATAAAAGTAGGTACTGAGTTGTCAAGCTAGTTTAGATGTAATCAGCCTGTAGGTAAAACACTAGATGTAAAATGTAGCATTTCCAGGATTCTCTCTGATCATGAGTGGGAGTTTGGTCACACTGCTGACAGGTAGCATGCTCGGCACACAAAAACAGCTGAATGCTAAATATTTCTGCACATAGCATCTACTCCAAAGAGTGAGTCACATCACTTTATCAAGCTTGAAAGACATCTGCTTTTGACTTGTAACTTTATTTAAAGTGACCAGGGAATTGCTCAGCAAAAAAATGTAGGTGACAGGAAAGAAAACACTGAGGGCAAAGCACGGTGGTTACACTTCTCAAGTAATCTCTGTTCTCTCCAGGATCTGACAAAATTAGAAACTACATACTTTGCAAGAAAGCCATTTTGAAGGCATTTCTCTTCCTTTTGGAGTTCAGTTTTCAAGTGTAAACACTCTTAAAGAATAACTCAATTACTTTTTGGAGGCAAACTAGCATATACTGTTCACTACAGTTCAAAAGTTTGCAGCCAGTAAGATTTTTATCTAGTAAGAAATGAATACTTTTATTCAACAAGGATGCATTAAATTGATCAAAGGTGACTTTGATTTTGTTAAAGACCTCTACATTGCTAAACATTTCTACAGAATATAAAGAATCCTTTAAAAAAAGTCACAATTTCCACAAAAAATATTAAGTAGCACAACTGTTTTAAATACTGTTAATAAGAAATCGGTCACCAAATCAGCATACTAGAATGATTTCTGAAGGATCATGTGACACTGAAGACTGGAGTAATGGCTGCTGAAAATTCAGCTTTGCATCACAGGAATAAATTACATTTTACAATACATTAAAATAGAAAGCAATAATGAATTGATTTAATGTATTGCAGTCAAATAAATGTAGTCTTAATGAGCATAAGAGACTTCTTTCAAAAATATTAAAACATCTAACCAACCCTTAACTTTTGAATGATATATGTAAGCAGCAGTAATTTACAACATTCAAATCTCAATATTTTTCAACTTGAACATGTCGTCGTAGACCACATCCGCGTATAGACTGCATGTTTTGTGCGCTAATGGATCAGATATTATGGTCTGTCTTTTTCTTTCCAGATAATGACAGCACTATACTACAGGATCTTCTTTGTATTTAATGACCCATGGTCAAGACTGCTTTTCTGCTCCTATTAAATGTTCTTTCAGTGTCTGAGTCACGAAGAGAACATTTACATGTACAATTCATGTACAATGCTAAGATTAAACTTTGAGGTCCAGCGAGTGCACTTACACAACTTTAGACGCAGAACCAGCGCAAGTCTGTTGCCAGGTAGGTACAAGTACAAAAATGTCTTCACACAGGCAATACTCAAATGTATCATATTTCTGCATCTTACAGTTACCAAAATGACCCTACACTTGTTAGTCTGCTCATTTAATAGTTAATGCTGGCAGTAATTCACTTTATTTTACCTAGTTGTTAAGCAAAATGGATGAAAACCAATGTTTTTTCTGTCAGCTTTGATAGATACTTACTGCAATTTGGCCTGAGGCAATAGAGGTTCAGCAATGATTTATTTAAATGACTGAACTGCATGAACTATATTTGTACCATCAGACATTACAAGTACAGGAGCATGGCAAAAAACTCAACATCTATATTTACAATCTCCCAGTGATTCAGGTAATAGACAGGCAGCATGATTAGCATGACGTTAACTACCACTTGTGAAGTGGCTGACATGAACATATGACAGTAAACACTGTCAGGCTAAAAATGCTGCATTCAACAGGTTTATGCTCTAGAGTTGTTAAACAGCGTCATAATGTTTGTTTGCTGCAGTATGTAGCCATTTGGCTCAGTGTGGTGGGGTAGGGATAAATAGGTTCAAATTTCTGCACTACATGTCTTTAGTTTGGTACCCAAGGGGAATACTAATGTACACACGTGCACGTACAAAGATGATGTAACGTGGGTCCATATCCTACACTACTGCAGCCTGAAATCATAAGTGACACTCCAGTTCAAATCAATCTGCCTGCCCTCCGGTTGACCTCATTTTACCACATGCTGAATATGAATGTAGGATATGACTAGAATGCGGCATCATTTCTGTGCATTGATTCCTCAGGGGAAAAAAATAGAGAAATGAGTGCATTACACTGGTCACAGTATTAATATTGGCACGGGGGATCTGGAACAGACCTGCGTTTCTCTCTAGTAATCAGAGAGGAAACTGAAACAACAGTGTTTATTATATAAAACTAAACATGCTATGGTTTAACAATTGTGAAATTGTTGCAATATAACATTATAGAGTATGAAAAATGTTGCATTGATTTAATTTTTTAATTATTTTTTAAAGTATTTTTAAATATTAGTTTTACCTTTGCTTTGATCTAAAGCTCACTTTATCTAAATGAAAAATATGGGAAATTACCATGTACAATTAAATATCCAATATCGGCCAATATATGTTCAATATCTCCAAAAAATTATCCATAAAAAATCTCTAAAATAGGTCAATAACCGGTATGGTACCACTATTCACACCTTTGAAAGACATTCTCCACAGCTTGGTGTAGTGAGTTTTGCATTGTTCCGTTCATTCCATCTCTGAAACCAGACTCTCAGTCTCCACAGCATGATGCACAGCAGGGACCATGAGCCCCACATGTAAAATTCATCCATGGTTCAAACTGAGCTGCTAAGTGTCAGTGAATTAACACATACACACACCTATAAATAATTGACAAAAGCTATTACAGAAAAAAAATCACATTTATAGAAAACTGACATTTAAGAATTCTCATGAGAGAGTTGCCACATGTAGGGAACCACAGTGTTTTCTCAGGGGTAAATCTCAGCTTTCACAACTAGTAAACTGCTAAAAAAAAAATAAAACAATGAGCTGAGACCAGAGACGTTTTAACTTACAGCTACAAATATCGATTTTTTTTTTACCTGAAGCCCTGTGCCACACAGAGGGGTGAGGCACAAGCTAAACAATCAGAATGTGATTTCCATTTCTTTTATAAATGCACTTCTTACATCAGAGCTGCATACTTTATCAAACGTTTAGCCTTTGATCATAAGTCAAGAAAATAAGAACATCAGAGCCTCTGTTTCTGCTTGGCACTGAATCCATTGAGGTCTACGGAAGGCCAAGATTTGCAACATAAAACAGCATATACAGAACATGATGGTTTAAGCCAGCAGAATTTAAATGGAAATTCAATTCAAAGAAATGCCTATAACTGCCTATAATCTAATGTTTTATTATATTTTATGTGAATAAAAACAAAATATCACTAAATTAGCTGGTGAAAGAACACCAGCCAAAATGTTTTTTTCCTAAATGTAATTTTCCAGTTTTCAAATTGGAGCCACTCAACATGAAGCAGCTTCCTTTCTTTCAGTTACAGAAATTCTTTAAATTAATTTATTTGAATTACAGTTCAATAAATTTATTTTCCTGTCGTTCCAATTTAAATTTCACAACTCAAATTCAACTTCCCGTTGAGCATAGACAATTGAATTCAAATTTACACTAACCAATTCAAAGGAAGCAAAGTTTTAAATTATGGATTTTGGCCAACCCTGATACAGTATAACAAATCAATCATCTCTGATGTTTGGTTCACTCTGATCGTCCTACAATTATTGTTAAACCCAGGAAGTTCACGTAATTCATTTAAAACAACCCACTCACCTTTCTGTGTTTTCTTTTATACACACCTGTGGGGTGTGTTTAACAAGCAAGCAGAGCCCACAGCGTTTTACGCAACAGTGTGTTCCTACGCCACTATGAGGAGGTCAGCCCACAGCACAACACTCCCACTTCCCCCTGACCTCGCACCTTGTGACGACGGTAGTGAGAGGCGTACGTTCAAAACAAACAGCGATCCCGACAATTCAACCCCCGTACAACAAGGCCTCGATGAACAAAAGCACAAGGACACCACACACAATGAAACCCACTCAAAACAAGTACAATATTGTATGAAAGGACTTCAGCCAAACAGAGTGGGATTTTCTTTAGCACCTAAAGAGCCAAACAGACTAAAACTGGAATAATTTTTTCTGTGTTCACAGCTTATTGTCTGATTCAGTGCAAAGCAGGAGCATGAAAAGAGCAACAGCATATCAGATTATAAAAATATAACTTTATCAAAAAATAAGATAATGAAAACATTTATAAACCCTTTAGATCCATAATCTGTGAAAAATTCTTGTAAAGATTTTTATAGACTGAATAAAGCTTGTGAATAACCAAATTGTCTGCAAGTTTTTTCATTTTATTTAATTAATCTTTTGCCTGTCAATCATTTTTTTGTTATAAATCACTGTAATTGTAGCAAAGCAAAATTATGTTGGGAAATCTTGTGTGAATTGCCATCAGCACTGTAGCCAATGTAAAAATGTGAACACACATTTTGATAAAGTTTTAACATACATGCTCATGTTTAATTTTCTCATTCTCTCTCAAGTGTGTTCAAAGCTGTATGTTCAAACTGTGAAGAAGAGAGAAAGAGTCGGATTTATAGAGATTACTTACAGAAACAGATTTATAGAATTCCCACAATATTTCATCCCAGCATGAAGTTTCAGTTGGATGTCACGAATTGCCAAACTCAGAATGCACAGACATTACATTTTCAAGACTTGAATTGATTTATGCTTGTCTTTTGTACACTGAGAGAAATTTTAAAGAAATAGTTCATCCAAAAATAAATTCTCTCATCATTTACTCAGCCTCACGTTGTTCCAAATCTGTATTACTTTCTTCCATGCAACAAAAAAAAGAGAAAATATGAAGATTGATACTTATAATTACATTGAAAAGACTGGACACTCTTTTCCAAGCAATTATAATTAATGAAGACTAGAGCATTCAAGCTTCAAAAAGGATGCAATGCATCATTTAAGTATCATAAACGTGGTCAATACAACTAATTTGTTATATTTCAGGTCTTCTAAAGTCATATGATAGAGTTTTGAATGAGAAACAGACCAAAATAAAAGTTGTTTGGGTCTTTGGCAAAAAGCGAACAACTACGTTCTTCAAAACATCTTCATTTGTGTTACACAAAAGAAGGATTTACATGTTTGGAATGATATGAGGCTGAATAAATGGTGACAGAATTCTAATTTTTGGTGTAACTAGTCCACCAAAAAGAAAGTACTTAAAAGTAAGTGTCGTTTGCTGAAATTTGAAGAGCACTGACTCACCTGCATCTCCTTGTCTCCATATTTGGAGGGGTTCTTGCTGCCCTGACTCTTCCTGCGCAGTTTCTTCAGTTCGGCCTGGCACTTCTCCAGACTCTCTCCTTTGCTTTTGTGTTCCATCTGATATTTCTTCAGAGCTGCCTGCCAGACGAAATAACACCGCTCTCATCACAATCAACCCCTAACAATATCCAAATGGACAAGACGGGGAACTTAATGGTTGTATTTCAAAAAATGTTATTAAGCATCTATTCCAGAAAGACCTCAGGTGGCTAAATGCCAACGAGAACAGAATGAGATTGGGCTCTCTCGTAGTATGCTTGATTTCTTTATTCTCAGCACATCCTGAGCTTTAAAGCTTAGAATAAATGTTAAAAGTGTGCCCATTGTGAATCGACTGTTTCTTAACAATGCTTAACTGACCTGAACCCAGCATCTAAAAGACATGAAGGTCAACACATGTTCTTTACTAATGGGAACTTGGCTGAGTCAGCCCAATCAGGTCTTTTATTGTCCTTAAAGTGTCTTCCCAGAACCCACTGCTTGATGAATTCATTGTGTTTCAGACCATACATCTTTGTTTTCACTAGTCTTCACTGCCAAAGCCTTCTGCTACATTTGACTGAGCCTGACGCAGTTTATTTTCCATCCTTACTATGTGTGGAATGGAAAGCATGGGAGCGTAGTTCATTATTTCTGTCAATGCTGGAAATGAGTGACCGAATAAATGTGGCTTTGATTTCTTGCCAAGAAGCTGAGGGTCAATCTAATGCATTTACAAACAAGCCTGATAGAGATCCAGTTCTCAATCTGTGAAGCTGAAAGTCTCATTTCAGATGCACAGCTGATCTTTCATGCTTGTAAAAAGATTTATCTCAAGTAAAAAAAAAAAAAAAAACACTTTCCCCTCATACAGCTGAGAAGAGCCTTTTAGAAGACGTTGGTGTAATGCTGCTAATACTCTTGCTTTCATTACATGCAGTAAACTCAATTATTGCCTTTAAAAGACATGTTATTTGTGGGTGGATAAGGCCAATTAAGTAAAAAACAATAAATCTAGTTATGTTTTTGCAAGTGACTGTATGTGTTTCAATTAAATAAAGAAACAAGACACAGACAGTGCTTAGTTCACTGAGTCAGGTGAAAGAAAAAGTTAACATGCCTTTGTGAAGGTTGTGATCAGGAATTTCATGTATATATATATATATATATATATATATATCACTACACTATTGGCAACAGACAACAGCCTTTTTTTCGTCCATGAAATTTTGGCAGAATGTTGCAAATGTGATCACAACTTAAATGTCTGTGTATGTTTATAAACTTACATTTAAGTAGCGAACATCCAATTCCACTTTTTTTTCCAGTTCTGTGAGCAGTTCATTGTGGAATGATTTCAGCTGAAAATTACAGTAGACAAACACAGTTTATATTATAAACACAAGCAGTACAGTACAACAGACCAGCAATTTTCCTCTTATATGACAAATGAATTCTGCATTTGATTACACATTTCACACACCAAACTAGTGTCGCTAACACTAGCCAAAATAACCTTACAGAACTAAAACTGATGTCCTATCCATAATGTACTCGCTAACAGACGTTTACTCCAGTTTCTACCCTGTTATCATTTTCAGAAGGACTCAGATACGGTTTGTTTAACTTTAACATCTACAGCTGTGTCACACAGCACAGGAAAGTCTGTGCTCTGTCTGAGGTGGTGTGTTTACGCATGTGACCGTGGACTATTGCCCTTCATGTGTATATATATGGAAGCATCTGAGTCGATGTGACCTTTTGAGATGCCACACTCCCTTCCATTTCCTTACCCTGGAGGTTAATGGAGCTTCTTAGATACAGCCTGATTGACTCAGTCATGTTGTGAGAAAATGTAATGAGAAAATGTGAGCCTATGAGGCAATACGATCTTCATCAAGTTAATGATACTCACCATGTCCTCTAGCTGCATCTGGATCTGTCGGTGAACCTCCGCCATCTGAAAAAGCACATCCCCTTGAGAGAGAGAGATAGAAAGAGGAAATAGATTAAATTGTCACTGTAATACTTTTGCACCTGATATCAGGACACCATGCAGTCTGACAAGGGTGCAGGGAAGAGAAAAAAGGAGGTAGAGAGAAAAATAAAAACAAATGATGAACAAGATGGGCCGTCAGTCAAGCTAAAGGTGCAAGAAAGTATCTGATGAACACAATACAGTAAATTAAATAAAAACACCATAAAATATCAAAACATATTGTTTAATAATAAATAAATAAAAGATCACACAGAAAAAAGTTATATTAAAATATTCTTCCAAGATGCATACCAAACAAAATAAAACAAAGTATTCAATGGAAACAGTAAAAGCATATTGCAAGTGCATGTTTAATAAACATGAGAAAACAAATCAGAAAACGTCAAAAGATGCCAAAAAGAAAATGTTGTTAGCACACAATTTTCTCATATCAACATCATTTTGTGGTACAAGAGAGAAAAAAAGAAGAAAATCAAAATAAAGGACAAATGAAGAGAGAAGAGGTGAATCATGCAGCCATTTCAGGCGTGTGTGTTGTGTTGTGTCGGGGTACCTACATGCTGCCTCTTCTGTTTAGGCAATGCATTGTAAAAAAAAAAAAAGGAACAAAAGACCTAGTTTGAGCAGGAACAAAATTACAGAAGACCTTAAGACAGTGTGAAAGAGAAAAAGAGTGAGAAGCTACCCAGGGCGAATGAGTCAAATCTCAAACACTAAATGCATAAATAACACAGGCCAGAGAGCTGCACTAGTCTCATGAACACAATATCAAATCAGTGTTTCCTACACCACTATTTGCTGCTGAATCCATAACGGCACAGTGAAAGAATAAGCCACACAGCGCAGTGATTTACAGTGATTTTATAACACCCATGTTTAATTAATAAATCATTTGTGTCATTAATATGAATAATATTATTAATCAAAATTAAAATCATAATAATAAAATTTTTATAAGTTTTATCATATTAATTATTATTATTGTTATTCATTGTTACAAAATATCTAATTAAAATAAATGCTGTTGAGCTATTCATCAAATAGTCCTGATATTACTTTTTTTTACTGTATTTTTGATTAATTGTTATATTGCTATTTTACAATGGCTAGAATTTAAATATTTAAATTCTATCAGAATTTAAAGTCTGAACTAAAATTTTATAACTTATATTTTGAGTTGTGAGCTTGCAATCTATAAATAGTCTAAATCACATATTAATGACTCTTACAAGTCAGTTCTTTTAAGCATGTTAAAAAAAGTAGTATTGCTTTTATTATATAGTAAGTGTTTTTTTTTTTTTCAATTTCATCATATCAGCCACAGTGGGTTCAAGTACAAACATCTGGCTGCTGAAATATTGCTTATGTTTTTACCTGGTGCAAGGGTCTTAAAATTACACAAGCGTTTTTGAAGGCCATAAAAGCTCAAACTGGCTGGTGGTGGCATCATTGTAGTTGTGCTAGTAAATTTTTAAGTCATATTAAGTTATCAAAGCTGCCCTAAAACAAAACTTTCATTCATTACATTAGTACGTCAATGCACATTTCCATGGGGACAGAAATAATTATAGGGTGCTGAGACATCTTCCTTCCATTCATCCATCAAACTCTTGTCTAACTCTGCATTAACCAGGTTTAAACTGGCTTAATAAAATGATTAAATGGAATAAAAAAATGCACACACAGTATGTAACACAGAGAGCAGTATCAGCGCAGACACTTTGAAAAGACAAGGCACTTACACAACTTTTCTGGTGTAAATGAACAATGACAGACGTACATGTACTCGCATGACATCCAATGGGCATGACGTCTCTCTCTACCTCCTGAACTGGTCATAAACGCAAGGCATTCTCCATGTATAGGGGTGTATAAGTCAAGGCAAAGTGAATGATAGCTCAAATTGTGCAGCCTGTTATTTTCTATATCACTACATATTAAATACCTTCATTACACACTCATTCATATTTGAAATCCATGCACATCCCTCATAAATCTGAGCTACTGAGCCACACAGTGCGTTTCATAAAGCGTGACCCTGCCTGTCTTTGAATCCTTCATGCCTGACCCAGGACAACTGCACCAGTCTGCAGTACATATCTAATCAAGCCTTCCTCTTAAGCCCTGCCTTCTGAGAAATAGAGGGACAGTCCGTTTTATTCAGTCGTTTCAGTTCAAGGTCGGCAGAGGCCATCCAACCAGTAACATCCATCGAAACAGAGATTAATAAGGGTGGATATGCACACACACATTACACATATGCTGATCTTGCTGTACCCAAATTCAGTCTATAATTTTCGTAATGGAAAGAAGAAAAGAGTATCGCAGGAAAGGGGGAACAGGCATGAACATGACACTTTCTAAGATACCAAACAAGAATACCCACTGTTGTCCAATCATTATTCAGGAAAAAATGTATTAGATATGATAGTAATGCACACAATATCAGGTGTGCAAGGGATGTTGTGATTAACAATGGGAGGGAAAAAATACAGATCTCTACAGTTGAATCTCACATTTTCAGACCTTTAGCTGAACAATCAAAGGAACATTTTATTGGTTATTCTTCATTTAAATATCTCAGATGTTTCCCCTAAAATTCCCTAGAAGAAAAAACAAGGCAATTGTCTAAATACAGTAAAGGCCTGTTCACATCAAAAACGGTTATCATAACAATAACTATAACTATAGCATTCACATCAATGCACAATAATGTTCTGTTTATTTTAAGTGCACACTGCAGTTATGTTGTCTGTCACTTCCTGAAAACTTTCCAAAAAATTCCCCAAAATCCTGGAAAGTTTCCAAAATTTCTGCCACCTTATATAAAATAGAGATATAAAATAAATGTGGATAGATCATTTGGCCTTTGAGAAAGGTTCATATTGAGTTCATCTCAAAAGTCTGCAGTCACATCTGAGCACAGTTTCAGACATTATTGAGAGCTCTTCTGACAGTCTAAGCACATGTGAGAAACAACTGAAATATTAAATATCATCTGTGACATTTCTTTCCTATGGGCATCCATCAGGTTCACATAAGAGTGTATATCATTATGTAACAAGGATTCCCCTCTGCTGCTGTCCATGCCCTAGCCTCACCCTGCTGTCCCCAGTCCAGATCTCGTCTGTAGGTCGACACACTCTCATTTCCTGTCTAAGTCAGCACAATGGTCTGACAGCACACCCCGTCCTCATCCTTCCCACCCCCCATCTCTCTGCTGCAATTCAGCTGTGCTCGGCAGGGCTTTAAACCGCTTAGCAGTAATCAGCACGGATCACAACATCTGCAAATTTGAAAGACTTAAACATGTTGTCCGCTCTTAAAGGGCCGAATCAATTAGGATACACTCTGAAGAAACACTGTGGCATCTAGTCAGCACCCTGTGCCTTAAAAAAAATGTTGGCTTGTTTGATGAAAACATCAATTATCAATAAATTATTTCAATAAAGCACTGAGTACTTAGTAAGGAATAACTACAAAAAGATAAAGAGCTTAAAATCAGAATGATTTTTGATTTGCAGTGCACAGGTATAGTCAAACTGAAGCAGCTTTCACAAACCCATTTTATTTTCATAAAATGATGCCCTGCAGATTGGGGGAAATAGGACATTTTGGACACAAAGAATTTGTTCCCATGACTTATTAATTAGTTCCCTCATTGCCCATTATTTAACTCAATTAAAATGAGGAAACATAGCCATGATTTCATTAAAATGAGGGAATGAATAATGGCCACGAATAAAGTAAAACCAGGAAATTAATTAATACAACATGGCCAGGGTTTAACTAAAATGAGGGAACAAATCAGTACAATGTGGCCACGATTTAACTAAAACAAGGGAACAAAGTAATGAAATGTGGCCACAAATTAATAAATCGTGGGAATGAATTCTTAATTTGTGGCCACAATATCTAGTTTTTCTTCAGCATGCAGGGCTCCAGCCTTTTTTTTTTTAAAGGTAAACAGGATATATGAAAAGAATAAAAACTTGATTGGATTGTAAAGTGTCCTTTTCATGCTAGAATACAAAACCTTTACGTGGTTCACCAAAAAAAAAACAAAGAACTATCAACAGTCAAGGATGATGGAGTTTTACAGTGGTATAATTTGTATGACACTGTAGAGTCTCAGTGGGTCAACCTAACCTTTCCAGAGAGAGCAAAAGAGAGAGAAAACCTACTTATTGGAAGGAAAAGGTTGCTACTCTCTATTTTTATCTTTGTTTTCTTTTTCCTTTTCCATTCTTCTGTTGTCCTGTCTCTTATTAAACTAGCTCAACTCTCCTCTCCATCTCTTGTTCTTCTCAAATTATTTCACTCTTTCTGTGACCTTGGTAGAAGTACTAAACATCAATACTGAGGGAATTATACAGCACACAGATGGATGTGATAAACTTAAGCACATTTGGACTGAAGTCTCCTCCACTGAATTCTCCGATACACTTTGCTGCAGAACTTTTATTATTAAATATGATATAAACCTGCAGTGCATGGCTCTTTCTTTCCGCTGTGCTCACATATGGCTGTATATCTATAGGTAGAACAAACAAAACAGTCAAAATGATCCACATGCTTCAATATAATCATCCAGTCGTATCTGAAACCGTAAAAGTCAGTGACCCAAGACGAAATGCTGTGACGCCTCATTGAGCTTGAAACCCCAAGGCCTAAATAATTCTTCTTTGGTCATTACTTTGTGGCAGAGGACTGTATACATAACTATTCAAGAGCAGCTGATAAGATCATAATGGAGACTGATTACTGCAGCAGAACAGATTCAGGGAGGGGGCCTGTCGGTTGAATGTGCTCAGCCAAATTCATTTGACGATCAAATATAGAAGTAACATTGTTATCATTCACTGGGACCTACAGGTGGCAGAATAATGAATCCTACTATTGTGAAGTCATAGCTCATGAGTATTAATTATGAAACATTTATTTCTGTTCCAAAACCTAGTGAGCAAGTAAATCTCATAACTACACACTTTCTGCAGGAAGCAACTTTGTGCACCATACAAATAGTGCACAGGAGACAACTAATTCCAGTTGATATTGGCATTAGCATGTTGCTAAGCTAACAATATGACAGTCTATTGAGCATTAAAATACTTCATAAACAAAAATGTAGTAAAATAGTATGTCATAGTTAACAAATATATTTAAAAATCAATCATTTTTAAGTATTGATTCATCACAATGCATTCTGGGATTGTCTTCTCTGCAAAGAATACCTGTAGTGCTGCCTTTGATTATGGCCAAATAAGAAGTATTTTAGACCTCTTGAGACCAATTTTATTGTCAGCGCACCTATGATGTCTTAAAATACTGTCTAGGTTTTGGACGTTTTGGAAGGCTTACACAAATAGATGTACCAAAACACATAAATGCATTAATATTTATGAGCAAAGCCTTCTCTAAAGCACAACTCATTCATTTGCCTATCTGTGAGAGGATGAAATGCTCTTAAAAGAATGTTCTCCAAAAGCTAATCTGATGCCACAGCGGTGGATCCATTTCCAAGCGATCTTCTGTTTGCGATGGCATCTGTAGCAGCAATTATCAGCTC